CACGCAAAAAAAGCACTCCCCCACAGATAGTCTAGATTCGAAATATTCGCTCTGCGCGTCGGAGATGTATGTGACGATGGGATACGCCTGCCAGCGAGAGGTAAGTGGCACACGTCTGTCTGTCACCTGCACCGCGGAGTGTGCTTACTCCACTGCATTTGATGGTTACAGTTATTGGCTGCCCCGCGGAGACACCGCTGCCACCTTCCCGGTGGAGGATGTTCTGCGGCGGAGGATGTTCTTCCGTCGAAACACATGATTATCATCATTCATTCATTCATTGTACAATAACTAACTCCGATCTTGACCAACTTGAGCGTGCGTAAATAGTTGCCTACCTGGCATCAAATTCCAATCTACAACCAACGGCATTGTTAACCCTTTTTTCGAGGCCGGGAATAGCTTGCCAACGTCAGGGTCGGGGCACAACACCGGTACCTACCCCGCGGAAGCTACTTCATCCACGTGCGGCGTTTACAATATTTATTCTCTTTTTCTTGCGCGCGCGCATATTATTGCTCTTTGTCGCCTCCTTTGACAATATCTGCACCATCTACATCAAGTACATATGATGAATGAGATGGGTAGTTATCCTAGCTCTCTACTGCTGTACGAGTTCGACAGCTACTATTTGTTTACGAGCGAATAATAGCACTTATTGACTTCTCGGCGGAACACACCAATCCATTTCACAGCAGTTTACTCGATCTCGACATGTTTGCGCGTATAGTTGCCTACCTCCCATGAAATTGAAGCGCCACTGTCCGACACCTAGACTATACATCATAAGGCCTCGAGGCCAGGACAAGCCTGCCAACGAGAGCTTCGGGGCACACCTACCTCTGCCACGTGATGTGTGAAAGATTATTTTTCCGCCGTGTTTGGACGGAAACATTATTCTTTGTTCTTGCTATTTGCGCGCGCTCCTTTGACCATAAACTTGTGCCATGTTTGACACCGATTTAACTTGGGATTTACTTTGGCCAGTTGTTATGAAAAATTTTCCCAGATGCGCGGCTCGTACATACCCTAGCGCCGGCGAGATAAAAAGGTTCTCCAGGACCAAGCAGCTGGAAAACGCCTCCCAAAATCACACCTTACAAACCCTTTTTTGAATTGAACGGGTCGCACCGCGGCAGCAACACGACAGCATCCGCTTGAGACCTATGGCAGCAGCAGCCGCGCACGTAAAACAGCAGCAGACAAAACCCACATGGACATGGACGATGTGGACGCCGTAGTTTGGAATGTTGCAGTGTACTCGAGGTACTTGATTTGCCAGTGCTGGTGTACCGTATTGGACACAAGATAACATCCCCCCTCGACCGATTTTGAAAGCTCGATATTTCAACAGCAAAAAGAGTCGCAGCGCCGAAAACGGGGGCGTTGAAGCTGTCTGGTCGAGAGCTCTCCAATAATGTATCGTTTTGTTTATGCATCCTCTTCGTCATGGCGTAGTCGAGCTTTGAAAATCGGTCAAGGGGGAGTGTTATCTTGTGTCGTTACGGTAGTCGAGGACGTGTCCTAGTTTGTTTTAGGGGGGAGGGCGTGGTGGTGCGGCGCGGATGTCGTCCCAAATGGTCGCGGTTTATGTGTTTGGCCGCAATGTGCTCCGTGCAGCTGCTGCCTCCGTATTGTGCGGACGGTCGACGTAAAGAAGAAAAGTTGGTTTGTATCATATGATTCTTTGAGCATGATGACACCTGGCAACATGAACACGCGAGTTCTTTCAAAACCGGAGAGCTCTAGGGCAACCGCATAAAATGTCAACGGACAAAGAAGATACACCATCACAACACCGAATCAAGGCTGCAACTTAAATCCCATGCGTGGTCATGACAAAGGGACCAGCGGTACTCTCTGTTTGGGTGCGGTAGCTCGTCAGAGGCCGAAAGAGAAAGAAGGTTGACTCAAGACCTTGTTGCTTAGGGAGTAAGAGACATCATACATACATGCGGTATGCAACACCATTGCCATGCAGCATGCCCTTCGACTCATTTCATCCGCGTACCCCCCAGAGGCCCCGGAGACAGTATACTCTGTCGAGCACCCCAAACAGCCCCCCTGCTCGGTACGAGATACGATCTACGAAATCCCCGTCACGACTATCATTGCCAGGTAAAACGGCAATAAACTACGCATCCAAACGGAAACCATGCACCATTCTTTCCAATTCAAACAATCTCCCAATAAAACAATGCTGTACGAAATCTATCTGTCGATCTCCCAGTAAAACATGTTCTACGAAATCTTTCAAATCTTCTGATAGTTAGTGTCAAATTACTATCTATCCCGTGAAAGGTCTGTCGATTAACAAATCACCCTCTTGAGAAAATGCTCTATCTACCAAATTCTCAAGTGGTCAAACGCAAACAATTTCCCTTGGAAAGATACCAAGTAATAAAGATCAACATTACGTCAGAGTTGCGTCAGAATGGGGACCGGACGTACGTGTAACTCCGGTAAAAGGTGCCCCAAATACCCAGAACAAATTCCTCAGGATAAAACCATGTTCACCACGACGTTCAACTCAATGCCCAGTTCAAATAACCTTCGGAAGCACGAAGGCTTCAACCATGACTTATCGAAACATGCCAAATCCTTCCTCCAATACACAGACAGACATACCAGTACACAAGAAGTCCGCAAACAAACCGACCGATGGAAGTTATCCCAAGTGTCTAGTAAAACGTTCATCAAAGTGCTGCTGCCTCGATTCCTCCATCTCAGGAAATCCATCCAACAGCCCTCCTGCTGGGACATCCCATATAATAAACGCAACAAAAATCCCATTCAATACTCAATTCCATATCAACTCCTCCGCAGGTAGAACGCGGAAAATGATCGATCCAAACATGAACTACACAACAAACAAACCCCATATTGATGATTCATCAATAAACTCCGTATAAATCCGTAGGGAAAACGCGGAAAATCCAAACGTGAACTAAATACCAAACAAACCCAATGTCAGAAATACTGCTTTTTGTTGTGCTGTGGCGGACAGCATGGCATCACACCCCCCTCCCATGATTTCCGACAGCAGCAGTACAACAATCAGGCGGATTCCGCAAAATCCAGCATGCCAATTCTTCATTCCAACTCCGTCATGGATAAAACGACAAACCGAAACAAGGAACCAATCAATACAGAACCGGCCCGCACTTAAGAATATGGACGTTAAGAATTTGAGCCTCAAAAAAATCCAATTTTTAAAAATTTGCCCGTAAGAACAAGTGCTCAGATCGGACCTGCTGTTAAGAATAAGAACCTCCAGTGAGGTGTACNTTGTGCCAGCGAGTTTTTTAACGGCGCCCGGGAATCTGCCAACATTGGCAGGAACGAATTCCGTGCCAACACAAAAAACGCCTGCAGAACTTACTTACAGAACCAGATATCAATTTCAAAAAAGGGTAAGCACAGCACAGCAAGTACTGTCGGATCATGCCGAACGTTTTTTTTCGGCGCATTCCCGATCTCGCCGCCTCCATTTCTCCTCGGCAATCGACTCCGCTTGGCCGATTTAGGGGGGGTAGAGCCACTCAGAAAGTTGCTCTGACCAAAAGTGGCCGCGGGAGGGGGCCATATATGAGTGGGGCTGGGGCTGGAGCTGGCATCCCAGCGGGCAACTGCATCCGCATCGTACCGCTGGGAGACAAGCAGTGGAAAGTAACGCACCAATGGGTTCCACACGACCTAGGCCTCAAGCTCACCACCAAGCTGATGGACCAGCGGAAGGATACCCGCGTTGTCGTACAGCTTGTGGCCTACCCCAAGGATGACGAGGATGCCTTATGCTCGAAAGCTAGGGAAAAGGCCGAGGAAATCTTGAAGACGAGAAGGGACAGATACGAAAAAACACTGCAGCCTAGCAGCGGCGTGCGAAGATGCGGCAACACCGGCAGGAGGGCAGACAGCGAGATGGGCTGTCCAGTGAGAGCGGCGTTGCCGCGGAAGACTCGTGCTGGCGTTACAAGGCCGACTACTCCCGATCGCCCCCCTGAGGAAGAGGTAAGAATCTGCTGCTGCTGGGTGCTGCTGGGTCTGTCTGTCTTTCTCTCGCTATCCCCTCTTGAACACCTCTCCTCTTCTGTTGTACTAGATGAAAAAACAACAACCTTGAGGGTACTGCTGTATGGGAAAACAAAACTGAAAGGTTGCCTGCATGTACTGGTACCCCTTTGGTTGTAGACTGCTGTCTGCTCTCTCTACCGTAGATGCCTGCCGACTGCTGAAGGTAACAACGAGTGTTCGCTGTGATGCGAGACTTCTTCTCTACCTCCAGAGTTGTGGATTGCTCTCGCTCGATGCGTTGTATGCCACCACTGGCGCAACTTCCGATTGCTGTCTACGGCGAGTGTAGATTTGGTATTCGAATTGAAGTAAAAATTGAATCACAGGCTTTCATTCTTGATTTCTTCTGGTGCTACCCCAGCGCTGACGTTTCCAAATGCCCCCACTGCTGTACGTTGCACATGACCCACCCTGCCGCTCAAACCTTCCAGCCACCAGAGCAATTCGAGTGGAGTGACACCTCGCCAGCATTCGTGGCGGCCATGAGAGCGATGACCACAACAGAGTTGTTGCGGTGTCTGGCAGAGCTCAAGGTGCCCGCCGCTGACAAGCTTCGAGAGCAGCTGGAGGAAGCGAGGGAGCTCCAATCGGCATGTCGTAGAGCCTTAAAGGATGCCGCAATCCAAGGGCGAACCAAAGAGGGAAGGAGAACGTTCCAGACGTTGCTCACGGCTGTTGCGTACGATGGAGACGGGCCTTCGAAGGTGACAGCCAAGCGCAAGTCCGAGATCTTTGGCGTTCACCCAGAGCACCTCGTCGCCGCCCGACGGCGGGTGACAGCGCTGAGGCCTGAGCTCCCTCCACTTCAGGCAATCGACGAGAAGGCGTACTACTTCCACTCCCGGACCAAGAGGAGCGACGCCGCGGAAACTCATGCATTCCAGACGTCATGAAGAAGGATTGGGAGTTGGCGAGGGGAACGGAGACGGGGAAGGTGGCGGGAACGGAAATGGTTGTGCTCACGGCGAGGAAGGTTGGGGAGGAGGAAGAGGGCAGCGTGCCCGAAGAGGGAGGGGCGGGGGGTGCAGGGGGCGGGGCGGGCGGCACCAGGAAGGGTAAGAGGAAGCGTTCAGGGAGGCAAGGCGCCCTCCGTGGCGAGCAAGAAGAGGAGGGGCGGGCGGCAGAGGCGGGGGGCGGTTCTGACGGCATCAGGAGGAGCAAGAGGACGACCGCAGTGAGTGTGAGGCATATCGCCCTCCTTGGCGGGAACTTGAAGGGCGGGGGCGGGGGGGCTAGAGCGAGCAGCGAGGAAGAGTCGTCGGAGGAGTCCGAAGAGGAAGAAAGTTCCGAGAATGAGGAGGACGACGAGGACGACAAGGACGACGAGGGGGAGGGGGAGAGGGAGGGGGAGGAAGAGGAGGGCGGGGGGGAGGGGGGGGAGGAAGGTCCGGCTCTGGCGAAAGAGACGGTTTGTGTCGAGAAGGTGGTTCTCCGGCACAAACTGCACACCGGTTCGGCCTCTTGTTTTTGCTCTGCCTGTCGCGTGCATGAGTACGAGCGGTGCTATACCAGGAGCAAGTACCCGGCCTGCGGCACGAAGCTCGAAGAGCAGGTAGTAGAGGAGACAGTCATCATGGTCACTGGTGTAGATCCTGTGGTTGGGGTGGATCCTGTGGTCGGGAGCAAAAAGATGGCGAAGAAAATTGTTTTCCGGAAGGGGGCGACCACCTGTCAGATGGACAGGGTTACCGGTACACAGTTTGGGGTCTCATTCTGCGGTAGCAGCAAGTAGATATTATTGAGGGGCTGGGTGATGGTGCGTTCAAATCTTGGTTTGCATTTTTGCTGTATTTTTGTGAAGATAAGCGCGTGGTTTGGTGGAGATTGTGCGTGTTGCGACTTGTTAACTTGCAGTTTTTCTGTTGTGCTTCAATCGGCGGCGGGGAGAAAAGTGTAACGTACAACACCCATCATAACTTTGTTCAGAATGCGAAAAAAACAATTACAACGACGGATTCGTGATCCCCGCCCAAAAATTGACAAACCCTGAATTTTTCAGATCGATCTGACGATTTTTCAAAACCGGGGATATTTTGGCACCATCCCCGGTCTGTGCGTTTTCGCAAATTGGCGAGCGAAAAAAAGCATAATCCATTGAAACCCGGCCACTACCATCGAGTTTGTTTTTGAAATTTTGCATATCATCATAAGTATGATAAAGGATTATTGTATTAAACTTTCAAGGGTTGGGGGGGGGATGGTGACGATCCGTCCCCGCCCCCCCAAATAAATTCGGCTTTACCGCGGAACCCGACTTACATCATCGCTTCCGCGGCCTTGCTCGGCTCCTGCTTCTTCCGGGTCGGCTGCCCTCCGCATAGTTGCGAAGTCTCCTCCCAAGTCTTGCGGGCGGTGCGGCTCAGGTCGTCCCACGGCGAGCGTGTATCATGTGTTTGTGTGCAGCTGCAGCACAGCAGTCGGCGGACCCTCTCTGACCGGCCAGTGACCGGCGGAGAGAGAACCACCCTCCAGAACCAGAATACAATCCAAGAATATTCCTATAAGTTTACTTTCTCGACAAAGGGGTGAGGTCTACTGGAACCAACAAAAAAAACGGTTCGGGAAAAGAGTTCTGCAGGCCCGAGTTAGACCGCTTTTTGTCCAAACCGCCCTTATATTTAGGATCGGAGGAAGTATGTTGCTAATCCTTTCTTTTTTTTTCGCACCAAACCACCCACACGTGCACAGGAACGCCCTCAAGCACTATGCAAATGCCTCTACCGCACCTATAGCGTACATACATCACAAAAATTGGCCGTTTTCAACAAAAATGTTCCATTTTTGTACAACGTTCCCACCAGAAACACGGAAAAAAACTTAACAAGTAGTCTACAGCTCAATGAACAAGAATACGCCATCGACTCTACGGCCTCCATTCCTTCGGGGTCGGGCGCCTGTGCGACTTGTACTTCTTGTACGTCTTCTTGCCCTCAGGCCCTCGCACACGCGTCCCGCGGTACATGAGGGCGTGTG